TTTTCATCCCAAACCACTTCAGCTTTTATTTTTAATTGCATTCACTTTAGTCTTTTTAACTCACTCCTCCCTCTCAACCTGCATTTTCTTTTCCTCTTAAATCTTAACTAAATTCCTTGCAGATATATTTCCCTATCTATACATTATACAGTATCTTTATTTTATAATTTCTGCAACAAGCATTTCTATGAACAAGTATTTTTCTTTTCTAATTTCTGCAGCAATCATTCTCCTCTGAATTTTTTTGTCTAGTGTTTCTCTTAATCTTTCTTTTATTGTTTATTTGGTATGAATCAACACATGCTTCTGACATTTATTATTTTCACTGTGCTCCAAACAGGTCTACATTACCTTCCTTTATATCCACTTTCCATTTACTCGGTTGGAAGATTAATCTATTGTTTTATATAGGACACATGGTTTCTTTTCCTGCAACCTTTCTACCTTTATTTTTGTTTGTTTCATTTCCTTCCTTTTCTTTCATGCCCATTCATCTTCATTGTTAGTCTCTTTGTATCTTTCCTCAATCTTTCATCACAATCAAATCAAACTTGTTTTTATATTTATATTCATTCCTTGCCACATTAAGGGTGTGTATGTAGACATGAACACTCTTAGTGGAAATACAATTAGTAAATATGTAATTTAAGTATATAATGGAAACAATTTAATTTTTTTTTCAAAACATCAATACAAAAGAACCAGATCCTGCTTTTTCTTCTTCTTGTTGTTGTATGAATGGCTCAAAAAGAATCAAGCGATTAGTTTCACCTACAGAAGAATTTAATTAGGAGGGCCCATATGTTATTGAAAGACATTTGACCCGTAGGGACAACAACTCTTTGATCATATCAACTCAGGGCAGGGACTTTTAAAGGGAAGAGCACAAAGTCCATCACTTCTTCTTTTTTGTTTTCATTAAAAAAAAAACATTTGTGGGAATTCACTACCAGTATCTGAATTAAGAAAAACAAATTCTCACGCCATTTCTATGGTATTTTTCAAGCCTTTTTTCCCTGAGATGAATACCGAAGAGTATGGCAACCAAAATGCACCCATTTCTAAACCCAAAATGCACCCATTTCTAAACCCAAAATGCACCCATTTCTAAACCTCCAATGCCCAGTTTTGTGCTTTCCCACAATGCAACTTATATCTCTGAAGGCAACGAAGTGAAAGTTCTTAGCAAATATGTGCAGGATGAAAATATTAACTGCATAGGAAATTTAAAGGCATCTTACTTATTCAAGGGAATCTTTTAGGGGTTGAAATAAATAAACTAACTGCCGGGTTGAGATGGCTAAAGAGAAACCCGCAAGCTTTATCCAGCTTCCATAGAGGCATGTGACAACTCCTTAAGCAATATGGGGTCCCGGTTTTCCTCCTATCTAGCGATAGTGACCCCTCCTACAATAAAAGGTTGCAGCTCTTTCAGGGTCTCGTTTCAAGGCTCTTCTGCACTGTCCCCCTAACTATTTCGTTCACAAATTCTTCCCTCGGAATACCGGGGAAACAATCAGGGCTCGGTAGGGCCCAATTCCACTTACCTCCCATCGTTCTCCCGACTCCACGGCGTCGTTTCCACCCCCCACCCCCAAAAGCAGCTCAGCTGGGAGAGCGGGAAGCGCCTCTTCGCAGACGCTTATCCGCCCCTGTGCCGCCAGGATCTCTGGGAAGTGTAGTTCGAATTTTTTGTTGGCTGCCACGTTCTGAAGGCAAAGCGACCCGCTTACGTTCGCTCCAGGACAAACAATTGGTTTTGTTAACTTATGAATGCGTGCGTTCATGCATTCCGGGTATCAGAGATTCGCTGCCAGGATTGTTCGATTCAAACGGAAAGGGAGTTGCGGAAAGCAGGTAAAGTTCTTCTGAGGAAATGAGGGCATTGTTAAGTGTAAAAATATTTGTAAACCCCTTAGATTTACAAACGTTGTAGCAGATTTTCGTGCACTGTATTGCACGAAATACAGTTATTGTCCACATACCCATTTGGAACTGACAGAGCCTGCACATAAATTCATTCGCAGGGCGGTTCCCTTATGAATTGATGTGCTAACTATCCTTCAGTGGGCAGAAAACAATATTGGCAAGTTTGGCTCAACAAGATCAGGTAAACTGAAAGATACCAGCAAAGGGACATTAATCTTGCCATTAGATCCTTGCATCCTGACATCTGATACAGATATGTAACTTGTTTTAGCATCATGATCATGACACAAAGTGATGTCCATAACAAAGATTACTGGCAGGATTCCCACTACTAATCTGTATCTGCCTCTTCCCATGCACCTGCCTTCACATAACCTTTCTCCCTAATAATGTGCAATAGAACCTTGATTTTACACATTTCAGCCTGTCCTAGGATCATTTCAGATCAAGAGGAAAAATGTTAATTGCATCTAACTGCCACAAATTCTGGGGACATCTTTTTATAGCTATATCCCCATGATGTTGCTTTCATTGTAATCAGCCCTGAACGTTCACTCCAATCAAAATGGTCATTAATAAAAACTTGTTCCTGTATTGTTTTGTTTAGTTAGACAACAGGAGCAAACAATCAAGTTCAGCGAACATCAAGGACTCCAATCCTGAGTTACATATACTATACATATTCTCTTCTATCAAATTTCTCTGAATTTGCTAATATATGTCAGGAGTATTGTTTTCACTGTATGAATAGCAGAATTTTCTGCTGAAAATTAGATGGATAGAATTCCTATGCAAATGTCTGTTATTAAGAATAATTCTGCTATAGAAAGAAGAAACTGCTGGAAATGAGAATTTCCATAAAACAAGTTTTTTTTATTCTTAGCACTTAATCAATAAATGCAATTCTTAAAAGCCAGCAATCCTAAACATCCTTACTTGAAAGAAATCAGTTGTAGTTATTTTAATAAAACATTAAAATACAAAAACCATATAAAATAACACATAACAATGAAACTGGTTTCTAAGAAAGAAACTAATCAAGATCAAAAACACTGAAACACACCCCAGGGTGGGGTTGTTGTTTTCACTAGATTTTTTACAGATAATACAGATAATCAGAGTTGGAAGGGACCTTGTAGGTCATCTAGTCCAACCCCCCACCCAAGCGGGAGACCCTACACCATTTCTGACAAATGGCAGTCCAATCTCTTCTTGAAGGTCTCAAGTGATGGTGCTCCCACAACTTCTGAGGGCAAGCTGTTCCATTGGTTGATCGTTCTCAGTGTCAGAAAGTTTCTCCTTGTTTCCAGGTTAAATCTCTCCTTGTTCAGTTTCCATCCATTATTCCTTGTCTGGCCTACAGGAGCTTTAGAAAATAGCTTGACCCCTTCCTCCCTGTGGCAGCCCCTCAAATATTGGAAGACCGCTATCATGTCTCCCCTGGTCCTTCTCTTTACTAGACTAGCCAAGCCCAGTTCCTGCAACCATTCGTTGTATGTTTTAGCCTCCAGTCCCCTAATCATCCTGGTTGCTCTTCTCTGTACTTTTTTTTAGGCATTTCTTTAAATTCCAGGCTTAATGGCTTTTCTAAAACACAAGAGGGTGGCGGGGTAGTCTGATATGGGGTAGTAAACTGTTCTAAAGAATGGAGGCTGCAACAGAAAAGCTTGACTCCTTGTCCCCAATAGATTATAATTCCTAAGAAATTTAAAATGGTCCTGTTGTTCTATCTACAACTTGGCTAATGGGTTAACTGGCTATCACAGAGCTGCATTAGTAGATGGATCTAGTCACTTAAAAACCTCATTGACTATCCCAGGGACCTGCACTCTGCAACCTTAAACACTCAAAGAGCCATTTGGACCAGTTTCCCAGAGAAAAGAAAACACTGGGAACCACAAAACTTGGGTGGGCATGGCCAACTCAACATCACACCCACCCAGTCGCATGACCTCCCCCCACCAACCATGCCTAACCAGATTTTGTGGCTCCTGGCGTTTTCTGTGGAAAATGGGTGTCCCACTCTCTCCCCCCTCTCCCTCCTCACTCAGGTGAGTAGCCGGTTGCGCTGTGCAGAAGAGCTGGAGCTCTTCCCTCCCTGCATCCGGTGGCAGTGGCTCCTCCTCCCCATTCCCCTCCTTCCTGAGCTGACACAAAGAGGACCGCGTCTGGCACTGAGCTGTCCACGAAGGATGTGGAATCACAAAAAGCAGCCGTTTGCGGCAGTGTGGAGAAAACACTAGGGGCGCTTCAGCTGTGTGACTCTGCAGAGAGGCTCGTGCCTTTTCGGGGAGGAGAGTAGGTTGTGCGACCAGGTCAGGCCAGTGTCTCAGGGCAGAGAACAGATCGTGGAACAGGGTTGGCAGGGAGCTGCAGGAGAGGGGTCAAAGAGCCACATGCGGCTCTGGAGCCATGGGTTGCCCAATCTATCCAAAGGCTAGCACAGAGTTGCATTAGTCTACATTGGTCCCAAAATTCTGTCAATCAGATGGAAATATGAGACTTTGAAAACAAAGTAAACAACAGTAATTTATATCATAAATATAAAAAAAACCAATAACATTATAGTTTCTTTTAGAAAATCTATAGTTAAAAAGAACAAGTCTCTGTAAATCAAGTCAGAAGATAAAAAAAGTGCTACTGATTGAACACTGTGTGGTAAATGTTCTATGGGAATTTATTGTAGAATTGAAATTAACATTAACAGCAGGGTGAAATGTAAAGATATATACTTGTTTGTTTTTGTAAAAAAATGTGAATATCTTGGTCAACAAAAACTATGGAAGTGCGAAAGAAAATTGAGCAAGTAAACATTACCAAAAAAAAAAGGTCCTCTGAGTAGTTCACCTGTTTTATCTTCTACTAAACAAGCAAAACCCACAACACTTATTTAAATCAAAAACATAAATATGGCTAGGTTCAGGAAACCACCAGTTCTTCTCACATTCTGTTTCCTACTTAAGTGGCTGCTTAGTCATTGTTATCTAGAAGAAATTAAAGGAAAGAGCAACACTGTTTATTGTGCCAAGAATAAAGAATTTATCTGCTCCTTCACCAACCAGCTGTTAAATCATTTTTGAAATGGAGGAAACAACTCCCAGCTATGATTACTTCTATTCTTTTAGCTCAGATACTCCTGAAGAAAATTGCCAAACTCTGAAGCTGCCTTATATGGAAATTTTTGTGAGTGTTCTTTATATTGTTATTTTTCTTGTGGGGACTGTGGGCAATGGTCTTCTGATAGGAGTATTAATCTTCAAACAAAATGTATGGAGGCTTACTGATACCTTCATTGTCAACTTGGCAATTTCTGATTTTAGTTTTCTTATCACATTGCCTTTCTGGATAGACAAGGAACTAGCCTCAGGACTTTGGAGATCTGGCTCTATTCTGTGCAAAGGCAGTTCCTACGTTATCTCAGTCAACATGTACTGCAGCATCTTTCTTCTGACTTGGATGAGTGGTGACCGGTACTTGACCATCATGTACCCATCAATGGCTAAAAAAATTAGAACAAAGCTTTATCCTATTCTTGTTTGCATCAGTGTTTGGATACTATCCTGCCTGTTAGGGCTGCATACTCTACAGTCCAGAGAGTTGAAAAGATACAACAACCATACTTATTGTGTGGACAAGGAAACCACATTCAACAATTGGGTTGGATCATTGATGTTGCTAACTTTGGCTTTCTTTATTCCACTGTTCAGCATATTAACATTGCATTATTCCATAATTAAAAAACTCTATGAGCACTATCAGAAATTTGGGAAACATGACAAAAAACTGAGAAAATCCATCAAAATTGTCTTCATGGTAGCAATTGTTTTTTTTTTCTCATGGACTCCTTTCAACATTTTTAAAATCTTGGCTTTGATGTCTAGCATCTTGGAATTGAAGCAATCTTTCTGCCTTTACTATAAAATTGTCTATCTGGGCATGGAACTGGGTGGTCTATTTGCATTTGCCAACAGCTGCACAAACCCTTTCATCTACTTCTTCTTTGATGATTGCATCCATAGGGCCATGATACAAAGTATTCTTCCATGCAGGAAGTACAATAAACCTGGAAGCAGTTTTTCAAGCTTGGACACTTAGATTTTCAGAGTCCATTTCTGCCTGAAAAGGTTATTCTCCGGAAGAAAGGAAGTCGTTATCATCCTGCATAGAGTCATCATTTTGAAGTATTCATCAAAAGGAGAAAGTTGAAATGTGAGGAAATGAAAATAAAGAATTAGGAAGGAATTATGACTAAGTTAGCTATTGAATATTTATTTGAGTTACATGGAAGATAAGATATGCATCTTTAATTGTATAGTTAATGAAAAGATTACATCAAATATACTTATATTGTAAGAATTATATATTCTTGAATGTTAATAGGTAGTTACATGAAACTGTGTTTGAAACTAATATGATATAAAATAACAGAAATTGTTAAAATCCATGTCTTATAGAATTATAGAATAATTATAGAATAATTCAAGCTATTCAACAGTCAAGCTTATTTAGACCTAATTATGGTGATCTATATAGATTAGTTCAGAATGCAAAGCAAAGTTTTAAAATTATGCCCCTTTTTCTGTTAACTGTAAACTATTCAAGCTTCTTCTAAAATATACTCTTTTTTGGATGTACATCTATATCTCTTACATTGTGTAAAAACTATTTCAGTTTAAATGTTGGTGTTATTGTGATTCTTCTAGAAATATTTGTTTTCTGATTTTTTAAAATAAATATATGCATAATAAACGAATTGGGGCTCTTCCTCTCAGCTACGTTCAAGTGTATTTCTCAGATTTTGGGGTTAACAGAAAATTATGCTGGCATAAATTATGCTGTACTCAGGGTTTTATTCTGCTTAACAAAGGCAATAGCTTATTATGAAAGCAATTGAGAGATGTGTTGCAATGTTAAATATACAAGAAGTTGTTTGATCTATCAGCATCACTACAAACGATTTTACTGAATAATATTGATTTACTCAAATATATTTAAATAGTTGAATTTCCTACTAAGAAAAAACATGTTAAATGTTTTTTAATAAATGTGTCACAGCAAAACAACATGCAAAACAACTGCAAGAGGTTAAGATATTTGTAGCTGCCCTTATTTGTTTACAAGTGATGGTTCTGTTTTTTCAATGTGGTTAAGCTGCACTATTGGAAACTGAAATCTACTGAAACAAATTCCATATATGGACATATTTACACATTTCCATGGTGTATAGGATTCTTTTTATCAAATCCTGTAGTGATTACAGATGCTGCCATAGGATTACAAATTCAAGGAGCTCCAAATCCAGACAAACAATAAATGGCAACAAAGAAATACAGAGAATTGTAACTTTGATCATCTGGATTTTTGCAGCCCAGATGTACCAGTCCCAAAATCTGCATTTTGGATTCCTGAAGAGGCTTTGCAGTTTAATCAAAGTATGAACAGCAAAGTGAAAATCTAAAATGGTTACTGGCAATTTATGAGCAAGATATTTAAACTCAGACATATCTTGGATATTGTTTCTGTACCTCTTTACAAAATTTGTATCATAAGAAAAGTGATAGTTTCTGTGAAGTGCTTGATTGTTACGGTGCCAAGTAGAGCTGGAGAAGTGTTCTTTTATCCCACAATCTGAGGCCATGTTTCCCATAGCTGTGCATGCACGAGCTAGGAGGATCTAATTAGAGGCCATTTCTTGCCAACAACAAAAATCAGGAGGGAGTAAAACGCTTTGACCCTAATTCAAGGACATGGAAATTTCAGGAAGGAAATTCAAAACCTCTTATGCAGTTTAATTTCTACAATGAGAAATCAAATGATCTAAACAACATTTTGCTATGAACTGGACTCTAAACATATTATTTACACATTTACCTTCTGCCAGATCTCTGTAATTCTGGGCATTTGAAATTAAATACAAATTATTTAAAAATAAATAAAAACAAGACAATAAAAATAAAAAGCTCAAACTGCCCAAGGAGCTGCTGATACAGTTCTACAGAGGAATTACAGAGTCTGTCATCTGCACCTCTATAACTGTCTGGTTTGGTTCTGCAACCCAACAGGACAGACACAGACTTCAGAGAGTAATTAGGACTGCAGAAAAAATAATTAGTATCAACCTGCCTCCCACTGAGGTATACTGCACGAGTCAAAAAGAGGGCTGAGAAAATATTTACAGACCCCTCACATCCCGGATATAAATTGTTTCAACTCCTTCCCTCAAAATGACACTATAGAGTACTGCACACCAGAACAACTAGACACAAGGATGTTTTTCCCCCGAAAGCCATCACTCTGCTAAACAAATAATTCCTTCAACACTGTCCAACTATTACAAAGTCTGCATTACTATTACTATTAATCTTCTCATCACTCCTTATCAGCCACCCCCTCCCACTTGTGACTATATGACTGTAACTTTGTCACTTGTATCCTTACGATTTATATTGACTGTTTCCTAGTATGATTTGATTGCTTATTGTACCCTATGACTATTATTAAGTGTTGTACCTTATGATTCTTGACGAATGTATCTTTTCTTTTGTGTACACTGAGAGCATATGCACCAAGACAAATTCCTTGTGTGTCCAATCACACTTGGCCAATAAAGAATTCTATTCTATTCATATAAAACAAAAAAAGTAGAGATGGCAGAATAACAATTAAGTAGAAACAAAAAAAAAAAAAGCAACTTAGATCAAAAGGAGTTTCAGTTATCCTCACCAAAGACCTAAGTGAAGAGCCAGATCTTCAGGCAAACACCAGCAGGGTATGAGCGATTTGGATCTCATGAAGAACCTCATTCCAGAGGGCAGGCTATGTTACAGAGAAGTTTTGCTTCCTGGGTCCTGATAGATGGACCTAATTGAAGGGATCAACCCTGCCACATTGAATCCACCCGGTAGATACTATAGGAAATCCCTGAGGTAACCAGGCCCTCTGTCACGTAGACTATTCTTGGATCCAACACAAGTTTCAATTGGTCCAGAATGCATGGACACTGAAAAGCTTGCTTGGTATGTCCATATAGCACCTCTGCTTCATGAGCTGCACTGATTGCTCATGTGCAGTTTAAGCTGTTGGTTTATTACCAATATAGTCCTACCTGGAATAGGGCCAGTTATTTGAGGGACTTACCTATCTTCCATGATTTCTGCCTGGCAAGTAAGAACTGTCAATTAGTGTTTGTTTTGTTTCCTTGATTAAACAGTAGCAGGACCCAGGAAATGCATTTATGGTACCTGCCTTTCTGGAATGAGATTCCTCCAGGGATTCTTACAGTTTCCAGCTGTCAGGTCTGGGAAACCAAGAATGACATGTAAATGCTCAAGAAGTTTCTTTATTGCATGTTCACCCATGGACAAAATCTCAGCAGACTAAAGCATACTCAGCATAACTATATGATAAATGCTAACAGAAATTAGGGAGGATCCCTCCTGGGCCACTTCCTGCACAGCAATGGTTCAAGATTTCTCTTTATTTTCCCCTCTGCTAGCTCAGCATGAGATTCCACCATGCCACCAGACCACAAGTTCCCTACTAGAGAATGCTTCTTACTAGCCCTGTCAAGAAAATTTGTGTGCCAGATTAAAAAAAAACACATTAAACTTATGCATGTAAAGGTAACTATGGTCTGCAACTGAGAAGAGGTATAGTTTCACAACTGCAGAGCATAGTCTTCTCAAGGCAGCCAGTTATATATCAATTAGTAAAGGGGATTTTGGATATAAGTTCTCAGATGTCTGGACAGAGGCTGCAATTGATTTTGACTTTTAAAGTCCTGTGTGCTTTTGAAAAATGAAGTCCTGTGACTTTGAAGAATGCAACTTCAAGATTCCACAACCTGTTTTGCAAAATTGGAGCATCAATCTGATCAAGAGCAACTTTCAGCTTCAGTGTCTTGCAGCACAGGGCTTCAGAAAGAGATTGTTGACAAACTGCTATGGAATTTGGTTTTGGAGTTTTAAAGAAGAAAACAGTTTCGTCAGAGCAATTTTTCTGGGCTGTTGCAATGGTTTTGCAATCCTGAAGAAGGTAATGAGAAACAGTTTGGTTTAGTGATTAAAACAAGAAAAGTTCTAGTTTCACCTTAGGCATGAAAACTATCTGAGTGACCTTGGACCAGTCATTCTCTCTCAGGCCAATCTACCTCACAGAATTGTTTTGAAGAAAACAATTGGGGATGTTTGCCACCTTGAGTTATTTATAAAAATAATAAAAGTAAATAAAATCAATCAATAAATAAAATTAAATAGTAAATAAATAAAATAAAATAAAAATAAATAAATAAAATTAAAAATACACAGAAAACCTAGGCTATGCATATAACTCTCACCAGACAGCCTCTGAAATGGGAATGGACCTCTTTTAGATCCCTGTAAAGTGTTCCTGCAAGGGTACATAATTTTTAGTTTTTGTTATATACATATCAATGACTGTACATTACCCTAAAGAATTTTATTTATATTTTACAGTAGCTGAATTAAAAGCTGTTGGAAAGAGCAATTCAAGGGCAGCTATGTTTATATTATTATGATGACTGAAGCTATCACAAATTTTCTAGAATCAGTTTTTCTGATTTGCTTTAATATGTGGGAAATCTCTAATCTGAATTTGAAAGAAGATGGTTTTTCTATTCTTGTCATAAACCAATTAGAGCATTTCAGGTTACTCCATCATTTTGGATTCAGTCCATTAATACCTACTGATATGGAAAATATGTCTTTTCTAAATAATGACTAAAATTCTAACTAAAATATATGGAGTATAATATGACTTTCCCACATAAAATGCAATAGTTATTTTGCTGCAAAAAAGAACTTATTGTATACAATAACCTTAGACTCCAACAATATGTATTAAACATACTTTAAAATACATTTAATCTATGAAGGAATCTTTAAATGAAGGGCAGAATATAAATGAAAGAAATTTTTGAAAGTGTACTTTGAATCACAGTGATCTTTCTGCATGTCCCAATCTACTGAACACAAGAGACAGAAAAATATCAATTAAAATTCTTCCTGTTCCTTTTTTATCTCTCACTCTGGTTCACCTGCATGTCTTCTTTGCCTCACAAAAAATAACCCATAAGGTCTTTCTCAAAGACCATCATGTATAATATTCCAATTGCCTGGTCTAATGTGAAGTAGCTTCTGGTCTTTTCTTGCTCTGCACTCAAAAGTATTGCTGACTTCTTCTGGCAGAAGTGACACTGTGTGGTTTATTCACTGGACTTCATTTCAAAAATTCTGCTCCAAAACTCTACTGTGTGTGGTGGCAAGAATATCTCTGATCCTCTTGGACACTGGAAGTTATCCTTTATGACAATTTTTGAAGTGTCTTCCCCTTTGTGAAAGAATCTTCCCCCAATGATGGTTTAGTCTTTCTGAGGTAAAATTGACAAAGAGTTCTGCCAGTTTCTCCTTCTGGCCTAAGCAACAAGAAAAGTAAAATAATGGATTCTTTTCCTCATGGTTCACTGAGTTATATGAAAAGTACAAGGAGGAGTCAACAGAGGTAGATTCATACAGGTTTATCAATGGAAATCATATGGCTTTAACAACCTGCCCTTGGATAGAAAAGTGATGGGTGCTTGCTTTCTTGCCAGAGGATTGACCATTTGAGGATCATGGTAATGCATGTCTGAACAGTCTTGTTGCCAAAGCTAGGATACAGGATGAAATCCAGGCAGGAATTTCCTAATTGTTTACCATGAGAAACAAGTACATTAAGGCTGCTGTGCAGAAGAGCCTTGAATCTGCTCTTTTTCTGTGAGGTGGCCCATCACAGGATGAATGAGGTATTTCCAGCTTACTCATACTCTGACTCCTTGCCTGTCAGGATGCTAGCTAGGAACTAGGCACTGCCTGTTTTCCTTTACATTTCCTGAGGGCTAGCCATTTGTTCATTTGCAACAAAGCCAACAAAAGATTGATAATATCTTAAAGCTGACAGATTTGTTTAGCATTAGGGATAAGCTTTCATGAACCACAATCATTCAAATGTATGAAATGTTTGCCATAACTGTAAAAGATGGGTAAGCACACAAACAAACACAGGAATCAAGTATTAATGAAATGAGTTAAGTGTTGTATTGTGATTATTTCCAATAGCAGAAGCAAGTAACATTTGTTATAAAGAAAGCAGCTTTATAATTTATTCTTGCTGAATGGAGCTTATTTATTTACCAGCGTCCTTCACAAAGATTTCCCTTTGTAGTACTGATTTTTTAAAGATATGTTGTATGCACAAAAACACAAGGATATACTTCACAAGATTCATATAGGTGTTATTGTGTTGATTCTTTCAAGTCTTTCCATAATCCAGATAATTTGTCTCCCAGTTGTTCAGCCATTACACTGAGCTTAGTTGTTTCTTTTATCAGGAAGTTCCTGCCATAAAGAGATACATATGTTAGAGAGTTTGAGAAATGTTCTAAAACTACCCTGCCCAATAGACTTCCATTGTCTAGTGCCCTCCTGATGTGCTAATTTAAATGATCTATTTCTCCTTTGGCTGACTTGAGCAGCACATTGGAATCTAAACAAGGAAAGGACTCTGAAATATGGAAGTGTAGCAAGTGTAGGTTAAAAGAAGATCAACAGCAATATTGAAGTCCATTATTGCTCCTAGGCATGTACTACCGTAGTAGTGGCAACCTTCCTGTTGCAGCTGCTGCTTTTCCTCCAACCTGTAGTTGTTTCTATAACAGCACAGACCAAATTGCAAGGGATGGTGGGAGAGCCTGGTGATTGGGAACAGGTGGTTATGATGTTGCAGAAATAGGAGTCAATGGAAGGTGGGACATCCCATTCTCCTACTACATCCTTGCCATGGTCACTACCAAAGTGGTATCCATTGGGAAAATAACAAGTTTTGTGTTGGGAAAAGACGAAAAACATATTTATATCAGTTCAGATAAATCAAAGTTAGGTAGCCTTGGATGGAAATGAGATAAAGGTTGCATCATGATAATGGAAGCTTAAATAATGGTTTGTGAAGTATCTTCAAGCCACAGTTTGGGGGATGTGTGGATATCTGCTAAGAAAAGTAATGGATTAATAAGAGGGGCATTGAAAACCATTTGCTGCATGAATTAAGGTCAGTATAGCTCCACCCATAGTCCTATGTGTAGAAATCAATCAGGTGAGTTTTATTTCAATAATGTTTCAGTATTGAGAAAAGGACACATTTTATCACATCTTTGGACTACAGGCAAAAAAAAAAAAAAAAACACCCATCAGGCTCTGTGACAGCCATAACATGTCATCAGCATCTGTCACTTATGGCTTTTCAGTGTCCACCACCTATGACAAGGTGATCTCTCTGCCAAATGGTTTAATGCCTTGTTAACACCTTTACTCTCATTCTTTCCTTTCATACCAATTCATGCACCTTCACAAATGACCTAGCAAGCTGTGGATGGCGATCACCTGACATGACATACCTTATTTCAAGAATAACTGGTGTTTGGACAGCCTTAAACAAATACTCAGCTGCTTCAGGTGATACTTCATTTACTAATGAATATATATTGAATGCAATTGTATCAGGAATAATCAGCCAATCACGACGAACATGCCTCTTTGAGATGGCTTTGGCTTCAGTTTCTGGAAAAGAAAAAAATTAAAATTAAAACTGCAATTGCAGTTGGAACCTCTGTTGCGAAGTGATGCGATTGTTAAATGAATCATGCCTGATTTTACAAATGAGTCATGACTGCTTTTGCAACCTTTTTACCTATGAGTCATTAAGCAAACCACATGGTTGTTAAATGAATCTGGTTTCTCCCTTTGACTTTGCTTGCTGGAAACCCGCCCCCCAGAGAAAGTCACAAATGGCAATCACATGACTCTGGGATGCTACATCTTATATAAATACATGCTGGTTGCACAGTGCCTAAATTTTGATCATGTGACATAAGGGCAGTCATAAATGCAAGAACTGTCGTAAGTCACTTTTTAACACCAACATTTCACAGACAGATACAGTCAAATTCCCCAAATCCTCCTAGAGCTTTGTTGCAGTGAAAACCAGAGGCAAAGCTGCCTGCCAAGGTGTACAGAAGGAAAGAGCTACAGTACTTTGTTTTCCTCCAATATTGGATTAAAGTGGAATTTCCAGGAATTTTTTCCCCAGGTATTAGTTGGAACAGGTGGAGTTTCTCTTCATTGATTGTCTATTTTCTACTGGAACAGGAACAAACATTGTAGTGAGGAACTCTTTTTTAGCAATTTTATTTATTTATTTAAATTTTCTCTGTGTAATATAAATTGTCTTTAAATTTTTGATACAATTTAAGGAAAATATTTTTTATTAAGAATTTTCAGATAATGTACTAATTTTGGATCCTGTTCTAGTGTCTTTATAGGAAATCTCCTTTTATTTTGTAGCAGATTGGTGCCATCTTGTGGTCTGCAGAATCCTTATTTTTACTTTTAAACGTCCGTGGAGATTGTCATTCATCCATGTCTCAAAGTGCTTTTTTCAAAAGACAACTTGACTTTGTTTTTTCCTTGAGGAAAATATTTTGTTCCTCATCCAAAAGTTTCTTCAGTTCTGGCTGAATGGTGTGTGTGAAGGGGAATGGAAGGTTTATATTTCTTTGCAATCATCTGGTCATTAGCACTTTTTCTGAGAGCCATTGAGGCTACTTGGGGGTTTATCTTTGCCCTCAAGATCACCTAAATCAAGAGTGCAAAAAGGTTGGAATCCTCTTGGAACTGTGAAAGGACTGTGTTGTATATAGGAGATAGGTGGTATCATATTCCCCTTTGTTGAGAGAGGGCTATTCAATGTTAACATAGATGGCCTCTTTTACCCCTTTTTCAAGTCCACATTATTTGTCCAGAATGTGGACTTTTGACTTTTATATATTTTCTTGTTTCATTTGGTTGTAGTTGCTGAATTCCCAGATTGGATCAGCACTTTAATTGATCTTTTCCAACATTGATTATCTGCATTGTAATGTTAGCTACTATGTATTTTTCCACAAATATATTTTTCTTATTCCTGTATTTTGGGGGATTAAATCCTTTTCAGGGATGCTGAAAATGGATCAGGTTTAAAGAGGTCAATAAGAATGATCAAGGAACTACAAACTACATCTTTATGAAGGGAAACAGAAACAATTGGTAATATTTAGCAGAGGAAGTAAAGGAATAATGAGGGTTACAATAGTATTCTTCAAATACCTGATGGCAGAATAATATCAATTCATTCCAAAATGCAGGAAATACAAATATTCACTGAATGGCACAGCAATTTCTAATAGTAATGTTAATTTGCCAGAGTAGCAGCTAGATATATGATGACTTTTCTTATCTGGGTATGTTTATGTAAAGTAGATGATCATCTGTTGGAGATTCTTTAATTTGGATTCTTGCACAGGCAAGGAAGAGAACACTTAATGACCTAAGTGTTCCTTCCAGTATCATGACTGTATGATAATATCTGGATACGTTGATTTTTAAAATATTTAATCACATGGCTAGTCCTATTGCTAGAACAAAATTTAAGCTATTTCTTGATGAATGCAATACACAATATTGATGCTGGTCATCCTGCTTGAGCAGTGAGTTGGACTAGATCTCCAAGTTCCCTTCCAACTGTTATTTTTTAAAATCTTTTTCTGAAAAGTGTCTGAACCTTATTTAGTTCATCAGTAACTAGGTATAGCAACAATAATAAATCACATACATTCCGCACTTAATACTAGGACTTAACTTTAACTGGAAGCTGAGGCAAGCAAGATTCAGCAAGCAAAACAACTATGCACGGAAGGCCCCCAGGTCTTACCAGTCATCATGTGTGCAAGTAAAAGGATAAGAGCAAGAGATAAAGGCTTGAGCTGGAGCATAGTTTCGATCACTGTTTTGGTAGAGGCTGACAAATAGTTTTGCAGGATTCTGGAAAAAGAAGTATTGCTTGGCTATTTCATAAGAATAACGTAATAGCATGATACAACCATAGGAAACATAGAAGCCAGTACTTTACTGAAATAAGACAGTATAATTTTGTGTTATGTCCCCACTGTTCAAATCATATCCATTGATGGATTCTGTTTCTTCACAATTATATTGGAACTAGGTATTTCTCTAGGTGCTGCTGATATACATTACAGTCATATATTGAAGGAAAATGAGCTTCCAGTTTGTTCAAAGTCTTATACATTGTTACCCAGCAAGAAAATCCCATTATGCTCTATGCTGCCTAGGCTTAAGATTGTCTATAAAGTCTGCTAGAGTATAGGAAATAATGTTCTTTAAACATATACAGTATTGAGGAGGACGGATATAATGCAAATTACAGAGGCATCCCATCTATTTTTTTATTTTTATTTTTAATACAGAATTGGAAGGAGGTCTTCTAATCCAACCTCCTGCCCAAGCTGGAGCCCCAATACCATTCCAGACAAATAGCTGTCCAATCTCTCCTTAAAAGCCTCCGGTGATGGAACATCCACAACTTCTGAAGTAAGCCATTCCACTGATTAATTATTCTCAGTCTGGAAATTTCTCCTCCAAAAGTGGGCTTACCAGGGAAGTATATAGTGGTACTAATACTTCACAGGAACTTGATATTATCCCTTTTTGGTGCAGCCTAGGTTTGTATTGGCTTTTTTGGCAGCTGTAGCACACTGCTTGGCTCATACTTAAATGGTTGTCCTCTAAAAATCCTGGATTCCTCTCACAGTTACTGATGTTGAGCCCATTACTTCCCAACTTCTATAATGATTCCCCAACTACTACATTATTTTAAGGAGTGAGAACTCCCATAATACTGACTGCAGCACTGTGAAATAATAGATACGACAGAAAATCATGCTGCGGTTAAATTACCTGTGTCATATATATATTTTGAAATATACTAGCAAATAAGTAAGGTGTTTTAGAGAACAATCGTTGGCTTGAAATTGCATAACAATAACTATGTCTAGGATTGAAAAATTATCTGAAACTACATCTTCCTTGTTTTAATTTAAGTGCTACATTTTAGGATATACATAATAATTCAGAGTATTTGGGATGATTGTTACCATTCTGTTCTCCCCTTCCCACCCATTGTCAACAAAATAAATTTCTTTCTTTACTCATTTGATAGATTCCATTTGCTCACAGCTAGAATTATCACCTACCTCTTCACTGGCTGCTGTTACTTCTGATTCTGAAATAACAGCTGTCTTTCAGTCCCAAAATAGTTGCACCCAAGTCTTCGTTTGTTTCACACCAGCTCTTTCACAATAGACAGAGTTAGTTAAACCTTAACAAAAGCACTGTTGGGCTTGATAAGATGCCAAAAAAACCCTCAATTTAATAAAGTTATTGAAAGTTTATCTTTGAAAAAAAACACCCTAAAGCAACTCCTAAGATGTAGTTTTCTATGCCATTTTCCATAAAGGCATGTGCAGATTTGAGATGACATAAATTGGAGCTTATTTCAGTGATGTAGATTTGCCTTTGTAAGATTGATATAGTGAATAATATCTCATTTTCCTCAAGTTCAGAATTGCCGGGTGGGAGAGGGGTAGACTGTAGGCTTTACGGAATTATGTGAAACTGCATTATATAAGAACTGATTCAGTAGATTACAATCCCCCCCCATCTAATCCAAGATTGTTTTCAAGCACTCCAACCCACATGAAGTATGGTCCCCTATTCTAGTAATCCTCGGTAGCTTAGAACAACTGATAAAAACTAGACAAAAAAAACACGGCCTATGAGCCGTGGTGGTTAGAATGCCGTATTGCAGGCTAACTCTGCAAGCAGCCAGGAGTTTGATCCTGACTGGTTCAAGGTTGACTCAGCCTTCCATCCTTCTGAAGTCGGTAAAATGAGGAACAAGATTGTTAGCGGGCGTATGCTGACATTGTAAACTGCTCAGAAGGTGCTGTAGAGCCCTTCGGAGCAGTATATAAGTTTAAATGCTAAGTGTTATTAAAACACAACAAGCTTCTGAAATGTCTCCTGGTAGACTCATTGATGCCTTTACCTGAAGATAACTGCCAAATTGAGCAGCAGGAGTTTAGAAGCTATCATCAAAATGTACCCTTGCTTATAAATATTCCCAAGGCACATGGAAATTTTCAATTGTCATTCTGAGCAGCACTATCAACTTTTCTAAAATGCCAAATAGCTGCTTTTCCAAATATACTCTTCATTACCCATGAATGAAAAGATTTAATAGCTGAAATATAATTCTTGTGCAGTGGACAGAAAATAATTATATGTACAAGATAGTAACTTCTATTTAAGTAATTTTAATGTGCTCTAAAACTGTTTCATATCTAGGTTACTTTATAGCAGATAATTGTTTCAAAACCTAATCCAAATACGTTTCATAGACATTATTAGAACATGATTTTGTTAGCTTTATTTTACATTTCCTTAACATATCAGTTTGCTAATAATGACATAATGTGAGCTTTATATAATATGCAATTGAACAACAAATTGTGTAAAACATAAAATTGTATTTCAGTTAAATTGAATTTGAAACTTTTTATTAATGTACTATTTTACATAGTTAATAATTGCTCAAGCAGATGTTGTTTTGAAGGTGTCTTGCAGTCCAGCACTATCAATTATTAGACTATGTATATGCCAAAGAAATTCAGTACATATTAACATTGAGTGTATAGTTCATTTGTAGTATTTGTTTTATATGGAGATAAGGACTGGGCTATTCTTTCCTAGTTCTCTTGCAGTAGAGATAATTAATGATTCACAGATTCTCTGTAGAATTGTTTCCCAGCACAAGAATTTTACAAACAATTCTACAGAGAATCTGTGAATCATTAATTATCTCTACTGCAAGAGAAGTAGGAAGGAATAGCCCAGTCCTTATCTCAAATTATACTGTAGATATTCAGGATTCAATTCACTCATGAAAAAAATCTTAATGTGAAGATGTAGTGCTGTACCTTATTCACTCTGAAGTGATCCATCATTAAATAGTAATGTTCTATTTATAATAGGGATCCCCAATCCCTGGTCTGTAGACAGACACCAGTCCGCCACATATCAGAAACCGGGCTGCACAAACAAGCAAAGCCCCATCCACGAGATGCAGGCAGCATGTGAAATCACACCCTTTCTGGACCACGGAACTGGTCCCTGTTGTCTAAAAAGCCACTTTGGGGGCCACTGATTTATAAGATAAATAGGGGCATATGAACAAGCTGGGCCAGTTTCACTTTTGTGAATTAAGACCTATAGTCAAGCCCCCTCTCCCCCCCCCAGTAATCTTTTGCAGCCCACAACAGAGCATATACATGGGGCATGTGCCTCTTAACTGGTAAGCTCAAAGGCTATAACATTGCTCCGTGCCTATTTCAGTGCTTATGAAGCAAGAGGAAACTCAAAGATGGGCTAATGGAAAAGAAGAGCGTTGGCACATTTGTAGAATAGGAAGCCCTTCCTCATCATATCCAAAGGAGATAATTGCCAAAAATAGAGCCATAGCTATTATATTATCTTCAGAACCACTGATGAGCACCAGGTGGCTGATGATGTACAAATGCTGTGTAGCGTTCACTGGATTCACCACAGATGGTGAGCTCAAGTTACACTTCACTGTTTGGGAATGGAAAAGACAGTCACACTCCTAACTCTGCATTCATGTGTTGTGATAAGGTTTTCTTTTCTTCACTTGCCTGTTCTGCTCCCATCACTGACACGCTGTCTCCTTGATAATAGGAGCAGGAATTATTCTAGTGACTTTTAGGTCAATGTATACCAACAACTTCAATGCTAATGAACTAGTGCTTCCATGGCACTTATGACAATCTGACTTATGACTAACCATGTCAGATGTTGCAGAGAGGCACTATTTCTATACCAGAAACTCATCATTTCAATTCTTGTCTTGTCTTCATGTGGCCAAAATAGATCTATTCCAGGGGGTGGTATTCTACTGGTTCGCCCTGATTCGGCTGAACCGGTAGCTCCGAGGATCCTCTGTGAGTGAATTGGTTTGCTCTGACAATCAGCTCCTGGGCCTGCCCTGGCTCTGAATTTGAAACTCAGCTGCTTCGCGCAGTACAGCGTATTGCCACGCGTCAGCTGTTGAACTCACAGGGAAAGTGCAGGATTGTAGGTCACTATCAAACCCTCTGCGCATGCGCGTGCAAAGCACGCCCTCCAAGCCACGCCCAGAGAACCGGTGGTGAAAATAGTTGAATCCCACCACTGATCTATTGACAGATAGAAGTACCAACAATCTAAAGAAAACCTTATTTGCTGGCATAAAATATTTTAGGGGGAGAAAACAAAATGACACGTTTCCAGATTTTTATTTTTATTTTGTACCAAAGTTCTGAACAAATGATTTAAATTACACAGTAACATTTTGTTATGCAAAAATATTCCCAAAATACTGGTGGAAAAGTATTAAAAAGTATCAAAAATCAATTATGCTAAGTATTTAATTACTTCTTTATTTATTGGATTTATTGGATATATCATTACAGCACTAGGTGGCTCCACCATCCACTCTAGACCTCTGCTTGGGAGATGAGCTCTGTGTTAATTCGATTGCTTAAATAAGAGCAAGGTGGGATCTATGGGTGGTATCATTCCACAGGGCAGGTGCTTCAATAGAGATGACCCAGTTCTGGGTTCCATCAGGTGGCACTGCTTAATTGATGGGACCCACAGCATGCCAACACTCTTAGATCACACTGAATAGCCAACACTCTTAGATCACACTGAATAGACAGCAACCATAGCAACCATAGATAGTCCCTCAGACAACCAGGCCTGATGCCATGAAAGGTTTTATATGTGATACCCAATACTTGAATCGCACCTGAAAACCTACGAGTAACCAATGCAAATGGTAAAAGAGATTTTATAGATACGCAGTGATGTGACTGTAGCTGCCTATGCTGCCGCATTCTGCACCAGTTGCAGTCCCATGTAGAATGCAGTATAACAATTCAGCCATGAAGTAACAAAGCATGTGACTGTATTAAGGGCCTCCTAGTCTGGGTATGGACACAACTGACACGCTCAATGGATTTGTGAAATGCCTTACAGGTCAGAGTTGTCACTTTGTTCCTCCAACTGCATACTAATCAAAGGGGAAATGCAACTGGTGGTCTAAGGCAGCAGTCCCCAACCCCTGGTTTGCGGACTGGTACTGGTCCGCAGCCTGTGGGGAACTTGGTTGTGCAAGTGGCGGCCATGCACGCAAAGCTCTACTTGAATAAGCAGCAGGCTCCCGTGTGAAACTATCCTCTCCCTCCCCGCCACCACTGCCCATCTGCACAGCCAGAAAGGCTGGGAACCACTGGTCTAAGGTATCGAAACTTGCTGAGAGCTCAAGAACTGGGACAGTTGCAAATATTTCCAAAAAGAGAACACCTCCCTCCCCCGCTTCCAGGCTCATTCATGTCTTGATTATACATAGAAACATAGTTTGTTGTAGCTTGTTAAGGTGCTTACCTAGAAACCAGGGGACTCTGAACTCTAGCTTTCCCTTAGTCAGGAAAGCCAGCTGGGTGACTTCAGATATGTGAGGGAATGAACTGGGGTTGCTATCTGCTTGTTTGAAAAGCAGATGCAGACACGAAGACAAGCCATCTCCCTCCTTCCCCTAGGCATTCATTCATTCATTCATTCATTCATTCATTCATTCATTCATTCATTCATTCATTTCCTCAGATCTGCACTCCCAGGCATTCAAATCAGTGTTCCAGCTGCCTGGCTAATTGAGCCAAACCCTGGTGTTTTCAAGGACATACAGCAAAAGCTTAACTCCACCCAGTCTTTTGAACTTATAAAAGCATAAGCTAATAAGAGGTGTGCATAGTGGGAAAAATAAAGGCAAATGGCCTACAGATGAAGCAAAGGCACTATCTGTAGACTGGCAACTATTAAAAGCAGGCAAGAGGACTTTCAACTGCCAGGACCACAAGTTATGGTGAGCAGCATATCTTGGAGGGAGTCCTGCCAGGGAGCTAGGAGCTTTGCTGTAGTGACTATAAAAGGAGCAACCACACTAAAACAGTACTTCTTCCCAACGATTTCAATAATGTCTCGAAGGCAAAGGTGGTATGTTATTTTATGGACTATGAGACTTTTGTTTAAATTGAAATATTAACAGACTGAGTATAAAAGACTGAGTTTTTATGTGGCAACATCACCTTGCAAAGTCCTAGAATGGTGGAGATGGCCAGAGCAATAGCCTATTGTTGGGGAAGGTGTGTGCAAGTCTCATTCACAATCAAATCATCAAGTCTTATTACGTAGCACCCTGGTGTTTAACAGTAACAGCTAGATGCTAGGAAAATCAAGGGTCTGATAACCTAAT